CATGATAATGACGTTAATATGAGACATAATGATAGGGTTTCTTGTGACTGGTGCCTAAAAACCATCCCTGTACCATCCTCTCATTAGGGACATCCACTAGAAAATGCAGACAATCTAATTCCTTACCAATGAAGGTTTAATTATGCAATCAAAAGTAAGCCATCCTGTGATAGGAGGGTCAGTTCTACTGATGTAAGAATGCTGTTCAAGTCTATCAGAGTTAGCTTTTATAAGACAGATCAACACAAAAAGGGCATCAAGGGCATTTCAAAAACAAAAGGCTGAAATTCTTTTTACATTCAAAATGTTCTATAAAAATACTTTCATGGAAAATTCGGTATTTTCATTTTCCAGGAAAAATAATCGAATCCATGAAATTGATATAAATTTCATGGAAATTTGATCAAGCATGCAGATAGTTAATTATCATCTGAACAGAAAAACTAAAGAAATCGGAAGTGCATTAACAATCAATAAAAAAAATTATCTTTTACACACTTATTTCAATGAAAATATTCACAAAAATTTGTATATATCCTGATTAATGTTTATCATTTGAACAAACAATTTTACATCTGCATCATCAATTGAGAAAGAAAATGAATAGACATCTTTGTATATAATTTTGACAAACATTTCAACCTAAAATTCTACCTTTCAGCAAGCATGTTAAGCTAACCATGCTTGTCCCTCAACGAGTTCTCATATGCAAAAATAACCAAACAACTGTAATGAAGACAATTTCAATTAATTTACCTAAACAACTCTGAAAATATCATTTTATCCCTTGGTGCTAGTAACAGCCATTATTCCAGATCTAAAAATTGTGAGTTTCTCAATATAAAAATTACAATGAAGATGATTTAGCATCTGTAAGCCCAGCATTAGCAGTGTAATTCTTAGCCAATCCCCACAAAGCACCACCCAACCAGACACACTGTCAGCACTGCCAGATCCTATTATCATACCCAACCACTCAGTATAGTTATAGATGCTGTCTCGCATCACAAATTACTGCTGAGGCATTTGCACAGTTTCAGAAGAATACCTCTTTCTGTGATCCAACTTGTTTTAGGTAACTCATAAACTTTTTTCTAACGAAATAGGTGACGGGAACACTTTTGGAACCCCTCCACCAGGGTTTCCCCTCCCCCCATCCAACTCCTCCCCCTGACAGAAATTTAACCCCTCCTTCCCTACCACCTCCAACCTATCACTAGGGCCCAGTAGTTCAAGAGGTTATTGGTTTAATCACTGTTTGACGACATTTATACAAGGTAAAAACTTGTACATGTAGTTACACAAGTAACTTTAGTCTAAAATATTTGGTTTCTGGAAAGTTTTTACTCTTTTAATGGTTGTGTGTTGAAGATACACAAAAAAAATAAACTTTAAAAAATCACTGATTAAGCTTATCACTTTTTGAACAACTGGGCCCAAGCCCTTATACTGATTCTCTATAAATCTGTGCACCCTTCATTCCCTCAAGTCGAGACTATTGATCCATCACTGTTATTTCTAGCATTATGTTGTGGAACTATACCTTTTATTGACACATTTCCACAAGAATATAATTGCAGATCAAATGAATTGATTTTTGGCGTTTTTGAATATCCATGAGGGTTTTGATTAAGGGATAAACTGTACATTAGTCGACAATTACTTGCAATTTCTCAACAACAAAGTTGCCAACTGAAGATTTTGTGCAATATTCTTCCCTTTCCTAAACGATGAAGTCATATTTTATTGACCACCACGTATAGTCGCCATAACAACCAATGTTGACTGCAACGTCTATATATGAATTGAAAGTCTTTTGACTGCTAAGCCATGGCAACACTTTGAAGGGAAAAAACGGAAAACAAGAACTTTAAATATCTAGGTGTATCCTGACAAACAAACTAATGATGGCTGATCGCTACAGGGACAGACTTATCCAAAAACAGAAAGTCTTAATTTGATAGTTTGATAAAATAATGTCTAGTGCAAATGACAGTGTCTATATCTGGTTGACAAGCACTGCATACACCTAACAGAAAGCTACCAGATTTGTTTTATAGTTAACTTCAGTCAACATCTGGGGAAATCACTCAAATTTATGCTGATAGTATTTTGTTAGAGCCATCGGACAAGCTCCGATTCTGCATTATAGAACTCTGCACAAATAGGTTACAGTAGTGCCTGGTTTGACATACAAAATTCAGAAAGAAATATACGGGAATTACTGAATCAATTGTGTCAATAAGTATAAGTTAGGTAAAGTGGTTGGTTGACAGGTTTTTTGCCTACATGATTCCACCCATGCAGGTTTCATCTCACTGACGTAAGTCGGTGTTCTGTCGGCGTAGTATAACTTAAAAGGAAATTGTTTCTTAAATACAGATCATAGGTGATCAATGGCTTTCCTGTCAATGTCCTGTATAAATAATTTACTTTTTTGATGACTAAGCAATCAGGCATAAGCCCATTCCTACTGTTTTTATTGTAGTGTATATATCGCAAAAAAAAATCATATTCTAACTTCCTTTTTTCAAAATTGTTGAATAGCACAAAACCACTCCCCACCAAACCTGTAGTAAGGTCACACAAGCAAAGCATTAATAACTTCCAAATGCTGCTCAAACAGCAATACATTCTATTTGTTTATGATATAAAATATTAGAAGATACATACATGTGGGGTCCTTAGGGCATGACTGGTTTCAAATTCAATTCCGTATTTTTGAGAAATGGCAACCCAATCTATATTATGTTCACTGGGTGTCTTTTCAGACGTGAAAACAAAATCAATGGATCTTAAAAAGATTTTATTTTCCCCAAGTCAACAGTTTATAGGAGCCAGAAATACTATTGCCATATTGCGGATGTAATACCATGGAAAATATCTATACAATGAATAAGTCAGCGTAGTATCAGCCTTCATGACAAACTAGAACATAACCAACAAGAGATCCCAGAGGGATCTTGGCTCCCACCATTGTACCATCTTCATTAGTTCTTTGTCAGTTCAATCTTTTCTCTTCTTTTCTGTAATCTGTTTGATCGAGTCATGTTAACAGTAAATGCACCTTGAGGTAACTTTTGATCACAACTTAATACTGCTGTGTATAAATGACAATTAACTTTCAAAGTGAGTTTGTCATTTCACATATTTACTTGTACAGTACTTAATGTGAAAGAAATCGAATCGATCATTGCAATATGAGAAAGATCTGTTTTGTTCTTCCTTTAGCCATTTCGTTTTTATGATCAGTCTCAAAATATAACATGCAAAACGAGGCATCAAGGGGAACCTACATATCAAATTTGAGAAAGATCCCTCAAGTTATTCCTGAGAAATAGTACTAACAAACCGTCAATGTCATAAATCGAAGCCTGTCTTGCCATTTTGTTTATCTGATCAGTCTCAAAAGTAAATATGCACAACTAAGGACCAAGGGTAACCTACATATAAGATTTGAGAAAGATCCCTCCACTACTTATTGAGAAACTGCAATAACAAACATTCATTTTCAAAATCGAAGATGGCTGCCTGTTGGCCATTTTGTTTATCTGATCAGTCTCAAAATTACACATGCACAACTACAGACCTAGGGGAGCCGTCATTACATATTTGGGAAAGATCCCTCCAGTACTTTCTAAGAAATAGTGATAACAAACCTTTCATGTCACAATCCAAGATGGTGGCCTGTCGGACATTTTCTATATCCAATCAGTCTGAAAATTAAACATGCACAACAACAGACCAAGGGAAACCTACATATGTAATTTGAAATGGATCTCTCCAGTACCTCCTAAGAAATAGTGATAGCAAACCTTCACTATCAAAATCCAAGATGGCTGCCTGTCGGCCATGTTGTTTATCTTATCAGTCACAAAAGTTGCCCTGCACAACTAAGGACCAAGGAGAATTTACATATAAGATTTGAGAAAGATCCCTCTGGTACTTCCTGAGAAATAGTGATAACAAACCTTCACTATAAAAAATCCAAGATGGCTGCCTTTCGGTCATGTTGTTTATCCGATCAGTCTCAAAACTTGCCCTGCACAACTAGGGACCAAGGGGAACCTACATATAAAATTTGAGAAAGATCCCTCGGGTACTTCTTGAGAAATAGCGAAATCAAGAATTGTTTAAGGACGGACGACGGACGACCGACGGACCACGGACAGACCACGGATGCAGGGTGATCTGATGATGGGCTAAAAAGTTCATGATAACATCATCCAACTCCCTATATCATTGTGTGCATTGATAATGACAATCTGAAATTTCCAATAATTTATCAGTCCCCAAGTGTACAACGATTAGTAAATTGTTCCTATTTATAGTGGTATATTTTAGTATATATAGCGGTATTTGTACTCATATTGGTATTTTTCTGTATATAAAGTGGTATGCTTTGTGGTATTTTTCTGTATACAATGTTATTTGTATTTATATTAGAATTTTTCTGTATTTATATTGATATTTTTCTGTATATATAGTGGTATTTTTTTCTTACCAGGTATAGTGGTGGTATATTGTGGTATTCATACTAACAATGGTATTTTTTACATGTGTATATAGTGGTACATGTATTAGAACTTACAATGGTATTTTTTTGTATATTTTTCTGTATATTCAGTGTTTTTGTACTTACAGTGGTATTTTTCAGTATATAGTAGTATGTCTGTATTTATAGTCGTGTTTTGTACTAAGAATATCTTTTATTTGGTATTTTACCTATTATAGTGGTTTTTGTCTGTACTTATAATGATATTTTCCCGTATTAATTGTGTCATTTGTTTGTTTTTGTAGTGGTATGAATTTATGATTATTGTTTGCTTTCAGTCACTCTCAATGACATGAAATATGTTAAGTTCGGAATATGTTAAAAGAAATCATAGCATCAATTTATTTATTTCAAATCTCTCCTCTGCTGTGTGGCTATTGTTCTTGATTTTGATTGTGATGTTTAGTTTACTGTTATAAATGCTGGCTATATTTTGTCATTACAGGGGCACTAAGCCAGAGCATATGAAGTTTTCAGCGTTTGGAAAACTTGGAAGATTCCAGGACCAACTTAGAATGGTGAACCACTCGGGACGCCGGAAAAACAACAGTGCACTGACTATCATAGCGGAACTCGGATCAGAAAGCAACGCCCATGGACTGGCAAAAATAGCAACATCAACCAAAACAAAGAGGAAAGTCATGTGGGCTTTACTTGTGATTGTCGGGTTTACTGCTGCAACTCTCCAACTATCATTACTAGTACGTAAATACCTATTGTTCCATGTTGTGGAGGTATCTGAAATGAAGGACGGAATGCCTGTCGAGTTTCCCTCTGTGACCATATGTAACACACATGCCATGTCACTGACAAAAGTGAAAGAACGCTTCATGGAGGTTCCTGATTATAGTCAGTGGTTTGGTTTCATTGACAGAGTGTCGTTTGGTGAACAGCAAACACGTGTCGAATCCACACAAGGGTTTTATGAGAACATGATGTCTGAAGCAACAATGGTTGGTCACGACATTAATGAAATCTTAATTCATTGTCAATTCAATCAGAAAAATTGTTCCGCAACAAATTTTACAAAACATTTCGATGGAAAAAATTATTTCAACTGTTACACATTCAATAGTGCTCAAGAACGAGACCCTAACAACAAAATACTTATGCATGCAACTGGACCACAAAATGGTCTTTCCATGATTATCTCCCTTGATAATGATGACCCACCACTAGGTGCCTTTGGCCTGTACAATATCCATGACAACATAGCCCACAGTGCTGGTATACGGGTTCAAGTTCATGCCCCAAACACGATGCCAAGCCCTGTTGACCTTGGATTTGATGTTCCACCTGGATTTTCCTCTTCTGTGGGATTAAAAGCTGTCATACATTCGCGTCTTTCATCGCCACATGGAAATTGTACCAAAGATATGTTAAAAGGGATCAAAACGTACAGAAATACAATTTTCTCTTGTCTCTTACTGTGTAAACAACAGATTGTGATCAAAACGTGCAAATGTAAATCATCGGGTCTCCCTGATACAGAGGATGCACAAAATTTCACATACTGCGGTACAATTCATAATTGGCAGGAGCGTTTTAACAACCTAAGTAAATCACCAAATATGGAAAAGGTCAATTACAATTTGGAGATGTTGAAGTGTGAAGAAGAAACCTTACATAAACTGGCAAATGATAGATCATACGAAAGAGCGTGTAAGTGTTTCCAACCCTGCTCTGAAACGTCCTATCAAAAATCACTTTCCCTGTCATACTGGCCTCTCGAGTTTTATCAATTTGATGCATTGAAGAAATTCTATCATGGTCGAATGGAAAAGACATTCATGCATGAAGCATATAAATATCTGAAAAAGAATATAGAGAAATATGACAGTCTGAGTCAAAATATGACCGAAGAGAATCGAAAAAAGATGTTAACAACAAATTTACCACTTGAAGAACGCCAGGAAATTATGAGAGCAACGAGTATGATACATCAGAATCTGCTACGACTCAATATCTACCTAGAGGATCTCAGTGTAGTGGAGTTCAAACAGATGCCAGCGTATGAGCTCGCCGATTTATTTGCTGACATTGGTGGAACTCTTGGATTGTGGATGGGAATATCTGTACTAACTATCATGGAACTTATGGAACTTGTAGTAAGACTTATTATGCTCTTGTTCAATGCCGAAAACAAGATGCCTGATCACATGGACCCGGTGACAAATGGCATGCTAGAACACACCGACAACTATCCCGACGCTTATCAAAAGACAGACTTTGATGGATTTGACAGAAATGAGTATGGCCAGTCAGAAGGATTTGAAAGAAGTGATTATAGAAGTCGATCAGAAGGTTTTGAGCGGAATGATTATGGGCGGCCAATGCGCGACAACTCGCATGATCTACCTATATGATGGAAATTGGCATTATCACATGTGGTCATTTAATCTCAGCAGGTAAAACCAATAAATGCTGATTGGTCGATCAACTGAAGCATGTGGCAGTGCTTCATCCAATCACGATGGATTGTGCTGATAGCGGAGTTGGACCTAACACTGGCAATGTCTGTGATAATGCTTGGTATTCAGCATGGCCTAATCACCATTCACTGGAATGTATGTCTGCCTGCTGTCCAACATATCTGCTAGTGTAACAAGGTTTAGAGCAGAGTACACAGTGTTTCCTGGCAGTGAACTGACCAAAGGTCACTACTGTCCTCAGAAATGCCTTATGATGTTGTTCTATCAAACAAAATCAACGAAAACAAAAAGTCCAACTTATAACCTGTGGCAATAACCATGGAACGACCTCTGGATATTGGTAATAAATAACTAACGTAGATGTAATATAATTATGTCAATAATCAACTTTCCGTACAGTTATTTAACTGATTATCATGATATTATACAAGTAAAAAAAATATGGTCACCTTAACAACAATGTCATCAAGCTGTTAACTTGGATTTGAAAAAGGGATACCATAGCAACAGTGTCATACAGTTGCTAACCTATATGTATAATTGGTTACCCTGGCAACAGTGTCAAACATTTGTGACCTTGGCAACAGTGTCAAACATTTGTTACGCAGGATATATGAATGGTAACCATAGAAACAATGTCATGCAATTGTTACCCTGGATATATAAGTGGTCACCATGCCAACAAAGTCATAAATATGTTACCTTGTATATATTTATCATATGGTTACCATGGTAACAGTGTCACCAACATATAACCTTGGATATATCAAACAGTTACCATGGTACCAAAGTCATAGAGTTGTTATCTTGGATATATTTATAACGTTCACCATGGCAACATTGTCACAAAACCATTATCACCTTGGATATATAAAGTGGTTGCCATGGCAGCAGTATCACAATTATGATACTTTGGATATACATTACTTGTTACCAATGCAGGTGTCAGCAAGGATGTAACTGAAATTGTTTGTGATTAACGAAATATTTGAAATCATTAGAATCTATGATTAGGTGTAGGGATGTAGATTTGACAGAAATAACCACCAGAATTATCTTCCTCAATCTCAGTGTGTATTTACATATGTTTTGTGTGATATGAAATGATTGATTTTGAATGTGAATTTGTTTCATTTATAATAATGAAGTGAGTTTGATCCTTTTCTTTAACAAAGCAAATCCATTATTTTTTACCTTATTCATCCTTTGATAGTAAATTAAACTTAATCAGACTTTGAAACTAATTTCTTGATAATCATTTTGTCACATGCTTTCAATTCAGTAAGATACACAAGCGAAGATTGAATACCATTAAGATGTTATGTCAATGAAGTGTTTAATCTAAAACACCAATTTCTCAGCTTCTTTTATAATAGCACAATCTGACCTTTGACCTCTAGACTCACAACTGATATACAAGCTGGGCCAAAACAGATTCTTCTTCCAAGAAACAGTTTTAACCAAATTCCACTAATGTATAACAACCTGACCTTTGACCTGACAGCCAGACAGCCAGTTCAAACTCCTTATATGAAAGGCAGATCTTTCACCTCAAGACAGTTCAAATTCACAACTGATATAACAAGCTGACCTTTGACCTCCAGACAGTCAGTTTAAACAACTGGTGTATTGTAATAGGAAGGAAGAATTGGAAAAAATGTAATGCATTTGGTAAGAATCATACCCATAATCAAAGACTTGTTGGATGTTTTACCTCTGAGGTAAAGAGAAATCCCCCTAGTTGAAGCTACGTAGTAAGTTAACTTTTACACTATGTGCAATACAAATCCCTTATAATGTAACTGCCCGACCTATGACCTCTAGGCGATCAGCTAAAAAACAGCCTGATCCTAATCACTTTCAAAGCCACAGAATAGAACATAAACTAGATAAATGTAAGGCACTGCATTTTTGCTAAATGTTTGGAAACTGTGCAATCTAATTAAAATTATATCTTCACATCGCTCCCGTTTACTGATATGTCGCGTTGAAGATCTAACAACATCCCATAGAGGGTCACGTCAGAGGTCAACATGAATGCATTATCGCATTTATAACAAGCCAATCAAAACGCGACATAACTCTTTCATTCAACCAATCAGAAAGCAGGACCTGTACCATTTAATGCGGACACCTCGTAGCCCAAAATCCACTTTTTCGTCTGGTCCAGTGATAGTTTGAATATTGCGAAGCCTGTCAAAGGTTAATTTTAGTTTCAGGTTGTTAAATTTTTTAACGACAAGATCACCAGAAGAGGAAGTCTCTCTTATTTCAAAGCAAAATCCACAAATTGTACAAACGTTGTCTTGTAGATAGACACGGCGTGGTGTCATGGGCGCCGCCATTTTCGATGCTCATTTGACACCTCTCGGTCTTTTATCATAGCAAGTGTGTTCCGAAATCATTACATCATCACTTACAGAAATGCGTAAGCTCTCATCTGATTGGTTAATGCAAAGGTCGCCTGAACATGACCCTCTACGGGATGTTGTTAGATCTTCAATGCGACATATCAGTAAATGGGAGCGATGTGAAGATATAATTTTAATTAGATTGGAAACTGTGCAGTAATCATCTGAATACTATTAAGTTATGTATAATTAATTATTTGATGTTCCTAGTCTAGTAACATTCAAAGACTTCATTTTAACTTCAAAATGTGAAAACTATATTTTCAATATGTTACTACATAGAATTTAATCTATAAAACTCAAATATATTGAGGCATGCGATAGAAATCATTGCAGAGCTTTATTGCAGCTTTCTTTGAAAAGGGACCTAATCTCAAAATATTGGCAAAATTTGTTGATATGTAAGAAAGCACAACATCAAATTTCATCATTAATTACAAGTATATAACTTTATATATATTATATAGAACTTTATATATATATACTTATCCTTTATTAAGTAGGAAAGAGTTAAGACAGGTGTTCATTTTTTTATTCCATGAAGAAAAAAAATTAAATGTTAAAAACTGCAAAATACTGGAGAGAATAAAGATAAAGGTTACTTTCCATCCAAAACTTGTTACTAGCAGGAAACCCTACAACCTGAACAGGGTAGAAAACTGATCACCGCAGAATAAATTCTCACCAGTTTAGTGACAAGATTGAATCCTCAGACAACGATTGAGGTGAAATCAACAGCAATCAGGTAGTCCCCTTGGGAACCTTAATGTACCTTGCTTTCACACCAAAAACTTAGCAAGTTTCCTATACTGATAAAAAAAAGTCTTCAGGAATTTAATTTAATTTAATGGAATGTTCATGACAGAAGACAACTCTACAGAATATACAACAACCACAAGTTCGCTGTTAGAAATATTTCAATTAGAGAAAAATCAATACTTATATACCCCCTTTAGCTGCTCTAGGAAGACATAAATCATATACAAACAGTTCCCACTTCATTCATTAACAACATAAATCATATACAAACAGTTCCCACTTCATTCATTTACAACATAAATCATATACAAACAGTTCCCATCTAACCGATTTGTGTTGATCTAAACCATTTAATCATGCATTTTCTGAGTTTATATGTCACCCTCGGGCCGAAATTGATATCTAGCTGGCATTTGCAGATGTTGAAAAGAACTCACAATGTGGACATCAGAAAATGTTTACTGATCACGCGAACTGACGGAAAGGATACGAAGTCATCAGGAACATTACCACTTGCTATATGCTTCTGTAATGAATACTACGAACGCATGATTAACATTCAAGCCTATCAAATGGACATTGATTTTTAACACATATAATTTGAAGAATCATTTTCTCCACGGTCGGTAATACAGAGTACACACAATTAAGTATGAATCATAGCATGAAAATAACAATACTCTTCCCTCTGTTTGTGGAACTGGCCTGTTTGAGCGAGATAAAATTGATAGGGTCGGAGGTAAAAACTAGAGTTGGTTGGGGTACCTGAAACATACATATTATTTTGTTGGCCCTAGTGTCTTTAGTTTAGAGGGCCTGAGTTTGAATCCTGGTCTGGCCATCGTAATTTTCATTTCCTATTACACCTTCATACGTTCAAGCTCAGCCATTGTTTCTTTGTTTCCTTTTAAAGTTCCTTTGGATATGTTTGTAAAATAAGCACCAATTCATCATCGAAGGTACTTCTACTACTTTTTTTGTTCTCTTTCTGAGCAATTTGAAAATAACACAATTCTTTTTCTTTAACAATTAATTTGAAGGTATTTGTAAAATTAAAAAGAACCTAATCAGTCATCATAAAATTGATAGCTTTTAGCATTTTTGTCATTTTCAAAATGAACATAAAAGGTGAACAATTTTAAATTAACATAAAATTTTACAAAATTTAATTTTTCATTACAAAAACTATTAGATTTAACATTTAATTTCTCCTTATGATGTCTCTTGTCAAACCCAATAAAGCATACTTTCACATGCTAGGTTGATGTAAAGTCCACCCATATACCATTGTAAAAACAATATAACGAAATAATAGTGTGACAACAATACATGTATACAGGATGTTTATGATGTAAACATTGCCAAAGCCATCTTGTCTTTCATGTTTATAAATCACAAATGGGTTTCAACAAATCAATATAAATGTGATTGTGAATAGTTATAAATACAAAATGTCAGATTGTAAATATACATCAGTAGTGTTATCATACAAATGTCATTTACTTTAAAACACAATTACTAGAATGGATTGAGAAACAATACTTTCCACTTTATACAGTCCATTTTTATTGGGATGGAGTTTCTAGGGTGTGTCATCATATTAACACTTGAGCCTCCAATCCAGGAACCCCAGTTTCACATTCATCTTGAAAATTTCAAGATGGATTTTTCTATTCCCATTCCAAATATATTAAATTATTAAAGGCATAAATAAGGAGGTGAATCAGTAATCTCTACTTGTAGATCCTGTTTATAAACCTCTATACAAGAAAATTGGCTTTGGAGCCTCAACAAATCCAACCTGGCTTTCATTCTGAGCAAACATGTCACTGATTAATGGTAACTCGATAGGACAACTGGATTAATGGTAACAGGATAGGACAACTGGATTAGTGGTGACTGGATAGGACAGCTGGATTAGTGTTGACTCGATAGGACAGCTGGATTAGTGGTAACTGGATAGGACAACTAGATTAGTGGTAACTCGATAGGACAGCTGGATTGGTGGTAACAGGATAGGACAGCTGGATTAGTGGTAACTCGATAGGACAGCTGGATTAGTGGTAACAGGATAGGACAGCTGGATTAATGGTAACAGGATAGGACAACTGGATTAGTGGTGACTGGATAGGACAACTGGATAAGTGTTGACTCGATAGGACAGCTGGATTAGTGGTAACAGGATAGGACAGCTGGATTAATGGTAACAGGATAGGACAACTGGATTAGTGGCGACTGGATAGGACAGCTGGATTAGTGTTGACTCGATAGGACAACTGGATAAGTGGTTACTTGATAGGACAACTGGATAAGTGGTAACTGGATAGGACAGCTGGATTAGTGGTAACTCCATAGGACAGCTGGATTAGTGGTAACTGGATAGGACAGCTGGATTAGTGGTAACTTGATAGGACAGCTGGATTAGTGGTAACTCAATAGGACAGCTGGATTAGTGGTAACTCTATAGGACAACTGGATTGTGGTTGACTCGATAGGACAGCTGGATTAGTGGTAACTCGATAGGACAACTGGATTAGTGGTAACAGGATAGGACAGCTGGATTAGTGTTGACTCCATAGGACAGCTGGATTAGTGGTAACTCGATAGGACAACTGGATTAGTGGTAACTCGATAGGACAGCTGGATTAGTGGTAACTCGACAGGACAGCTGGATTAGTGTTGACTGGATAGGACAGCTGAATTAGTGGTTACTGGATAGGACGACTGGATTAGTGGTGACTGGATAGGACAACTGGATTAGTGTTGACTCGATAGGACAGCTAGATTAGTGGTAACTGGATAGGACAACTGGATTAGTGGTAACAGGATAGGACAGCTGGATTAGTGTTGACTCGATAGGACAACTGGATTAGTGGTAACTCGATTGGACAGCTGGATTAGTGGTAACTCGATAGGACAACTGGATAGTGGTTACTTGATAGGACAACTGGATTGTGGTTGACTCGATAGGACAGCTGGATTAGTGGTAACAGGATAGGACAGCTGGATTAGTGTTGACTCGATAGGACAACTGGATTAGTGGTAAC